TGCCACGAGCCACTTCAATCCCAAGAAAATACTTGAGTAGACCAAGATCTTTCATATGGAAGCATTTATGCAAATAAGATTTAAAACGAGAGATAGCACCAACATCATTGCCCGCAATAATTAAATCATCAACATAAATGAGAATGTATAACTGAGAGGATCCCTGGCGCCAAGTAAAGAGAGAATAATCAGAATAGGATTGCTGAAACCCATACTGCTTTAATGAAGCAGTAAGCTTAGCAAACCAGCATCGTGGTGCCTGTCGAAGTCCATACAGCGACTTCTTTAGCCTGCAGAACAACCCAGGCCGAGAAGGAAGAAATCCTGGAGGCGGTTTCATGTAGACCTCCTCGTCCAAGTCCCCGTGAAGAAATGCGTTATGAACGTCCATCTGATGTAGCTCCTAGTTTTTAGCAGCAGCAACAGCTAAAAACAAACGAACAATAACCATTTTGGCTACAGGAGCAAAAGTCTCAGTATAATCAATGCCTTCTTGTTGATGATTACCAAACACAACAAGTCGTGCCTTAAACCGTTCAACTGTGCCATCAGAGTGGTATTTAATTTTGTACACCCATTTGCATCCAAGGGCCTTTTTACCATGCGGAAGCGGTTCCATAACCCAAGTGTGATTATCTTCTAAGGCTCGAATTTCATGTTGCATGGCTTCACGCCAACCAGCATGTGTCATAGCTTCCTTAAAGGAGCGAGGTTCATGCCCTGCAAGTATAGCTCCAAGAAACAACCGATAACGAGTAGAATACTTGTCACATTTTAGAAAATTAGCTAGAGGATAGGACGTACCTGAGGAACTGACGGAGGAGGCGCAGGACGGGGATGGGCTCAAATTCTGAACATGATGGGTAACAAAATCCCGAAGCCGCACTGACGGACATCGTGTGCGAAGTCCTCGCCCAAGAAGACCAGTAGAATGATCATCTTCGGTTGCTTCTGCGGTTGCTAGCTGGGTATGATCTATCGGTGAGGGTTCAGCCCCTACGGGGACAACAACTCCAGGTTCAGAATCAAGCAATGGAGGAGTAGGAGTAGTGCTTGTCCCTTCAATAGGTACCGAGGCAGGTTCAGGAGCTAAAAATGGAAATTCATCCTCATAGAATGTGACATCTCGGGAGACAAAGATTTCACCTGTGTCCCAATCATAGATTTTCCATCCCTTTTTACCATGAGGGTATCCAAGAAACACGCCCCGTCGACTGCGAGGTGAAAACTTATTTCCTCGGGAACAAAAATTATGAGCGTAGCATAGGCAACCAAAAACTCGTATATGAGAAAAATTAGGAGTAACACCGTACAGGAGTTCATATGGTGTCCCCCCCCCCCCCCCAAATCCCTGATGGAGTACGAATAATTAAATGCACAACAGTAAGTACACATTCACCCCATAGAGTAACTGGCAAATTGGCTTGAAACATCAATGCCCGGGCAATATTCAATATATGTCTGTGTTTGCGTTCCACTCTCCCATTCTGCTGGGGTGTATGGACGCAAGACGTTTGAAATAAAATGCCATGGGCAGTAAAATAAGATTGCATGCAATTAAATTCCGTCCCATTGTCGCTACGCACAATTTTAACAGCAACATCATGTTGTTTTTCAACCATAGCAATAAATGAGAGAAAATATTGATGAACCTCCTTTTTATCACGTAACAAATATACCCATACAGCGCGGGAAAAATCATCCACAATAGTAAGAAAATAAACAGCATCGCAGGTAGATGGAGTCCGATATGGTCCCCATAAATCACAGTGAATAAGTTCAAGTATCCTACTTGCTTTATTATTGCTAACAGGAAATGAATCACGCACTTGTTTCGCTTGTGGACACACGTCACAAGATTTATTCAAAGTTTTCTGAACAGAACTAGAAACAAAAGCAGGTAATAATTTGAGAACCCGATCAGAAGGATGACCCATTCTACGATGCCACAGCTCAAACAGCGGGAGTCTGGATGTCTGAACAGCGTGTAATGTCGGCACCCCTCTGAAATAAAAGAGCCCATCCCGTCTCTCACCGGCTCCAATCAGGTTCCTCGAGCGTAGGTCCTGTATAGCACAAAATTTATTAGTAAATGTGACAAGACAATTAGACTGATCTGCCAATTGTGAGACAGAAATAAGATGACAAGTAAGTCCAGGCACATAGAGAACTTGATCAAGAATTAGCTCCCTGGATAATGATACTCGACCGGTCAACACCGCACTCACAGTTCGCCCATCCGGAAGGCCAACCGGACAAGCGGCAATAGGACCGGGGTCAATAAGACATGTGGCATCCCCTGTAACATGTTGAGAGGCTCCTGTGTCAATAATCCAGTCTACACAAGAAAGCTTACCCAACATTCGGTCAGTGGAACGAGAATCAGCAGAGCGAGAATCGGTATTTAGCAAGCCTAAAAGAGCCTGCACTTGTTCATTTGTGAGACTGGGCAGTACATTAGCAATAGAGGAGGACCCTTCCCCGGTGGGCTGGAGAGACGAAGTAACGGCATGAGTCCGCACTCCTCTCCCGCGACCTGCAGAGCCTCCTTTGGGACGATTTCGATCCTCCCACCAGTCCGGGTAGCCGTGGAGCTTGAAACAGGAGTCAATTTCATGCCCTTTTTGCTTGCAATGTGTACAGACCGGTCTGGTTCGTTCAGGTTTATCCTTCTCTGCCCGTCCCTGGTTAGTACGATCAGCTTGGAGAGCAAAAGCCTGGACATCACCTGCGGACTGCTTGCTTCGTGCGATCAACCTGGAGTTCTCTTCCTGTTGGAAGGCCTGCAACGCTCGATCGATGGTAGGCAGAGGGTTCTGAGCGAGCAAATTAGAGCGCACCGTGCCAAAATTATCATCATCAATTCCAATTAGGAATTGATGAAATCGTTCCTCTACCCGTTCGGTAACAATCCGCCCAACAACGTCGCAAGTACACTTGCCGCATGAACACCCCGGCAATGGTTTCAACCGATCAAGCTCATCATAGAGGCTCATTAATGCCGTATAATAGGCATCAACCGTCATCGTTTTGGTCTGTTTACAAGCCGAGATCGAAGCTTTCAACTGCTGCAACCTGAGACCATTAGCGACACTATATCTTTTCTCCAAGTAGACCCAAAGAGCTCGGGCCTCTTCGTGGAATGGGATGGACGCAGCAACTGAGAGTTCCATACTCCGAAGAAGCCACGACACCACCATGGAATTAGATGTTTCCCAGTTGGATTGTTGTGCTTCTTCCTCCGATTTCTTGAGTGTGCCGTCAACAAACACATGTTTCCGGCGAGCCTTGAGTGATAATAGTATAGCTCGAGACCAAGCGACATAATTATCTCCCTTAAAGATGATATGGGTGATGAGATTCCCCGGTTGATCACCGGATCCAAGATAATACGGTGAAGTAACGTCCACCATTGTTCCTCAGTCCGTACACGCTGGTGCAGGACAAGGTGTCGAAGACGAAACCGGAGCAGTGCTATGCGTGCATCGGCTCTGATACCATGTTGAAAGCAATGCACGTACGAATGTGTTTGGGAGATCAGTATGGTAAAATCTTCTCCCCTTGTTTGTATTCAACCATGTGCCAGTTAATTTATACAAGTGTATGTCTATAACTAAGCCCTTAGCCCAAACTAATATACAAGAGACTAATTACAATTGGGCTAAGCCCGAATATACTAATAATACGCTAATACTATCTCAAAAAATTATCATTTCCTTTTCACATACCACCTCTATTCTTTTTTTTTTTTCAATTGAAATAGTTTGATTTTCACATTTGGGAAAACACAATTTAACTACAGTTATATTTAATTACTACCTCCGTCCCATTCAAATATTCTCGTCCTCGATTCTAGGGTCATCCTAAATTATTCTGAACTTTTTACTTTATATATCTAATTTTTATCAAATTTCAGGGTGCGACCATATAAAAATTTTAATATAGTTTTTGACAATGTAAATTTTATTACTAAACAATCTAATCACGGACATGAATCAACATTGTAAACCGCATGAGAACTTTTGTACTGGAAGGAGCGAGTACGTATTTCTAGGGGTGGGCGCGGTCTGATAAATTAGTAAAATTCGTAATGCATCCGTGAGGTTTCTAACGGTCCGGTCCGATCCGATTCTAAGGATGGAAGCATTCAGTACCATGTCATTACGAAACGGTACAAAACAGTACAGTGCACCAAATACATGCTAAAATTTTGGACAAATCTTGAAATTACTAGATATCATCACACCAACCAACTTCATGAAATATTGATATAAATACAAGAAATTGCATACGTAGTACTAAAATTGACAAATACACAAATAATGCAACACAACTAAGAAAAAGTATAGCAACAGGATGATCACGAGATAAGTATAATCTTTAATTTACTATGTTCATGTGAAAATATAAAAAGAATATCATCAAATTGTTGAATATAATAGAAAAATTCAACGTTCTTCTTCTTCTTCTTCTTCTTCTTCTTCTTCTTTGTTCTAGGTTACATATTAGTTCTAATTTAAATTATAGTTGAACCGTGAGAGCTAAGATTTAAACGATACTAATTAAGTTGTAAAATTGCACAAACATGATACAACAAAAGTCATGTACACTACATCACTAGAAATTAATAGTAATTAATGATTTTTAAAACTTTAACATTCTTTAAATACATACCAAAATATATTATCCAAAATATAACCAAACTCTAATGATATACGGAGTATATATAAACACACATTTAGCTATTTTATGGACTCTTGAATACATATTTGAGCTATAAAATATAAACTTGTTGGTCTATAAAATTTAAAAGTTTCAAATGCATTATATTTGGAAGGTCCGTTCCGGTATTTTCGATTCTCAATATCTAGGACTGATTCTGTACCTATTTCAAACGATACAGTTTTGGTTCAGGATAAAAATCTATAGAACCGTTTAAATATCCGGTATTCGGTTCTGTACCGTTACACTACACATCTGCTCGATGCCGGTTCTATCCGGTTTTATTCTCACTATTTCTGTCTTTTCTTACAACTTACCCCATGTCCCATGTTATCATTCTGCATCTAAATCCAGATCGGAGAGCATATAAAACTAAAGAAGATTCACTTCATGCCCATTATTTCTCTTACAACAAGTTGCAGCTGGAACTGGAGAGATGGCATCGCGCGATAAGAAACATATGAAGTCCTCCAGCGGCAAGATAGGCGGTATCCGAACTCTTTCTGATTTGAATCGGCCGTCTAGTCACGACTCCGACAGCGACTCTGATGGTCCCCAAGAATACTACACTGGTGGTGAAAAGAGGCAAACTTTCTCCAACCCTAACTCTTTCTCTTTTTACAAATTCTTACATTATCAGCTGTAATGGATTTTATGCAGTGATCTTGATTATCATTGTCATTTAAATTGGGTGTTAGTCTCGGAAATATGATCGTTTTTGTATTTCCTTTGCGATGCTGTGTCTAATTTTAGTGTTAACCTGGACTATGTTATGAACTCTGGTAATTCCGGTGTCTTTTTATTCTGTACCAACCTAGAAATGTTAAGTTCTTGTGTTAAGATTGAAAGATTTTAACCGAAATTTGGTTAACCAATGTCTGTAGGTTCTAGATCTGGTTCTCAGCCCATTTGGATAGTTAATATGCAATTTGTTACCAGGAAAAGAAAAAGCAGTACTATAACTCTGATAAATTTACTAGGACCGTATCATCCTTTCTGATTCCTGATTGGAATTCTAGTTATGTTTTGCATTATATAGGATAGCAGCCCGAGGACTAAGAAAAGTTTTACTGGAATTCGCCCTTTATAAATTTGCTAGAACTGTATCATCCATTCTGATTGGTATTCTAGTTATGCTTTGCATTATAAAGACAACAGATCGAGAACTAAGAAAAGTTTTACTGTAATAAGATGGCTTTTCTTTGTGCAATAAGGATTAGTTGCTTGAAGGGATCAGTAAGAACGAGTACCTCAGTAAGAACTGCAAAAAGACTGGAATGGGATTTCCATTTACACTCCATTTCATATTCAAATTATATTCTCTATTTAATTAAATCCCAAATCACTTTTCATTTCTTATCTTGATTCTAGAGTTTAGTTCCGCCTTTTTCGTTTTTCTCCTCCATTCATTTATTCATTCATTTATCTATTTATTTATTTTATTTTATTTATTTATTTATTTTTTATTGAAACTCAATTTTGGTTCAAAGATCACCATTTGTAAACATAATTCAGTTTCCAACATATAATCTTTTAGTAAATAAGAGTTACTTATGATGCCCTTTTTTCCCCATTCACTCATAAAAGCACACACACAAGTAATTTCACTACCAAAACTGACTTATGAAAATACACAATGATCTAAGTTTTGAACTTTTGTATGCATCTTATATGTAATATATCTGATTGGATTATTAAATTATTTTAATTTGGGATTTTCTGCTTAATAGAGTTTTGGACATTCAGAAGGACTTTTATTTGTTTTAGTGCTACTTTCTAACCTAAAACAATTGAATCTCGTGCATTTTATTGCAATATGCTAACATTGTGTTAGTGCTTATATTTCCCTGTCATCTTGATTGATAGTTTTGAAGTATTTGATGCTTAATAAAATAGTGTCAGCATGATAAGATGTGTGAATACCTTTTTATATGAAAAAATATAGGTAATATAAAGCGTATGAATTCATTGAAGATGGTGTTGCTCATGTCTTGTTTTTTTATAGTGGAATGCTGGTTCAAGATCCTTCAAAGCGCAATGATGTAGATGCAATTTTTAATAAAGTTAGGCAGTTAGGAGCAACTCAAGGTTCTCTGGAAAACGTCCTCCCTTCATCAAGCTCAACAAGATTCACTGGGACTGGGAGAACCCTGACAGGGGAATCATCCCAACCGAATGCCCCTCAAGCACCTGAGTCAGTTTTGCACCATATTGTGTTCTGGAGAAATGGGTTTACAATAAATGGTGGTCCTTTGAGGAGGTTTGATGATCCTGAAAATGAGATTATTTTACAGGTAATATTTCATGGAATAGAAATAAAATGTCTTTGGCTAGATAATTATGAACTAATACGGCATTGTGATTTAGGAGTGTTTGGGTCTGAACTACCAATCTGACTCTGCCCCTTTAAGCAGAATCACATTTTGTAGTTTCCTGAAAGAGCTATAAAACCCCTAAATAAAAAGTATTTACTGGGAATATTGTGAAGCAAAATCAAATGAAAAGAGATTTTTCCCAATAGAAACACATATATGCACTTTGACCATTCCATTATTCACTTGCATGGTCAAATTGATGCAAGTGTTGCGGTATTGGAAAAAGTTGGGGCATTTTCCAAAATGTGCCATATTTTGAATTAACTTAATGCATTGCTGGCACATTTAGAGTCATGAGATCTTAAATCTCATGCTCCTGATTGTTTTATGGAGAAGTCTCGTGCTCCTGATTCCTTTTCATTTTACATGGAAAGATGCAATTTTAACCCGTATATAAATAGAGAGAACTGATCTGGTCAGGCGCGCCTGACCAGACCTGCCGTGCGGACTTGCCGGTTTGATGGTCTTCTCGGTGGGATTTTTTATGAAATTTTGAGCATGTTTCCCATCAAGTCTAGTTAATTTGAACTGGTGGCCATAAGAAGGGGGAAGTTGTGCAGATGCTTGAAGGAGGGAAGGAAAAAGGAAGGAATGAAAAGACAAGGAAAAAAGAAAATGATGTAAGAAAAATTAGACCATGGACTATCGATGCACATGTGCTCATTCAAGAAGAATAAGAAGAAACGAGAAGGAAAAGGAAAAAAATCAAGGAAATAGGGAAGAAAAGAAATCATGGAAGAATGAAGGATGCCCATAGAAGAAAGGAAAGAAAAACTAGGAAAGAAAAAATTGTATACCATTAAAAAAAGCCTCATGTTCCATGTTTGGGTGACCTAAGTTGATTTACGCAGGTCATCAATTTGTTTTTAGAATAAGCTCCTTATAACTTAGATTATGTGGGAAATTAGTCCTTTTTAACCTGGGGAGTCGTGGGTTGGGGGGGGGCCTGGGGTAAACAGGGTTGAAACTCCCTTCATGGAATTTCGAACCCGACACCTCTCGTATGGGAGAGTGAGTCGGTGACCAGCTCAACTAGACCGCTTCCTTATATTGGAAATTAGTCTAATATATACGTAGTATAGGTTTTGGATCAAATAAAGAACCATTCCCGTGAAAAGTAAGAACAAATGTGGAACATCGGATTTATGATCTAATGGTTATAAATATGTTAAAAATGCATTAGAGTGGATGAAAAACACAGTGACATTTTCATAAATTAATCAAAGTTTTTCTACCATGCAAAAGTGCACTTCCCGTACGTAGTAGTGTACCGTATATATCAGAAAGTGGATAGCGAAAATAATCTAATGCAATAGTGCTACGTAAATGGTTAAAAGTGGAAACTTCGCACTTTGTATGGGAAGACTACTTTTTATTGGAACCACACCCTATATATAATATATATAATATATATACATATGTCGAAAGAAAAAAACTCATATATGGAAAGAGATCTTCGTATGATAAATGAGAATAATCTTGACCTTTAGTCACACTTGGGAATGGATGGATGAGACGAATGTTAATCAAGACAGTGACAAAAAACTCATATATGGAAAGAGATCTTCGTATGATAAATGAGAATAATCTTGACCTTTAGTCACACTTGGGAATGGATGGATGAGACGAATGTTAATCAAGACATTGACAAAATAATATGTAAATGTTTATAATACAAAGTGGATTGTTTAAAGATAAAATTCCATTATGAATGTGAACAAAGAATACCCTATTTTTTAAAAGTTATGCACATTTTATTTTGATGTACATATACACTTCTTGTATATTATGGTACGTACTCTATATTTTGCAATCTTATGCACTATTCTGGTTTACGTATAAACTTTTTGTATATTCTGATACACATGTATTACATTATTTTCATTTAATGTTATTCGTAATTACTACAATGTTTCTTAAAATTTATCTCTTCTATTCATTTTTCACATCTTCATCATCATCATTGACGTGCACTTTGTCGTGTGTGCACTCAAAATAATTCGATACTAACAACTATACGTAGTATAGCGTAGTAGAGTTCGTATCCACAGGGAAAGGAATAACTCTCTTTTTATGTAACTAGTAATTAAAAAGGGGGGTTTTGATTGATTTAGTTTAATAAATAAACACACGAAGATGAACGATTTATGTGGTTAAATTCAAGAATAAAAGGAACTTGGTCTTGCTACTTTCCACTTGTTGATATATTTTAGTCGATCATTGTTATATCTATAACTTATCCCCTCCCGAATACTCAATCGCGGAGTATCTCCTATTCATCGAGGGTAGTTATTAACAACGACCGTTCATTAATAACCCTTACTATTAATCAAATATAGAACAACGTCATATACCGATAAAATAGTAGCATTTAACCTCTTTAACTCCTTGATGAAATCAATTGAGATTGATAACCTCAACACAACGGTTTCGGTTTAACCAACAAAATTAATCCCTCTTAAGTTTATTAACCACGACCGTGCATTAATAAACTGAAGTTACTTACTTGTGAAACCATCAACGATTAACCATTGGTTCGTTGATTGTTTCTGGTAATAATTAATGTCGGAACGTTAACTAATCGTCACTTAGCAACCCTCCAACATTAATATAGAATGAGATTAAGGGAAGAATTAATAATCAAGAGAAAGTAAGAAAATAACTCACAACTTTAATAATCAACAAGCTTCAAGAGCAAAACCAAGAAATGGAAGTTTAGCTCCTCATTTGGAGATTAAACATGCTAAAAGAAATATAAAGAAATGCTATTCTAAACTGACCTTAAAAGTATAAAGGAATTGGTATCTAATTGTGAAGGAAAGAGGGTGTATTTATAGGCTTTTTAGGGGTGCAGCTCGGGTACTCGATCGGGTATATACAGGTACCCGATCGAGTATGTGTAGAAACTCGAATTCGACCCATACTCGATCGAATTCAGAGTATTATTTATATATTTACCCGATCGAGTATGTTGGTGTACCCGATCGGGTATAGACACTCGATCGTGGTCAAAATCTTCCCTGCATGTTCCTTTGTTTTTGGATCCGATCCGATTTGAAATTTCAACAAGATACCCGATCGAGTATAGATGATATTCGACCGGGTATAGACCAAAAAATCAGGATCTTCCCTTTTTCTTGTGATTTTGCACCTTCCTTCCACTTTTGGGGTTCACCAACTGTCCTTTGAGTGATAGTAGACCTGTTTGAACTCAGAATAAACCTAATCTAAACAATTTACAAGAATTTAACAAACTAAACTATTACACCAAAAGTGTGTAATTTCCAAAGTGAAAATCAATCAAAACTACTTAAAATCACAAACATAAACATGGAAATTACATGATTATCAACTCCCCCACACTTAGTTTCTTTACTCGTACTCGAGTAAAGTCAAATGTTCACAAGTGTTAAGTCTTCCAAAGTTTCAAAAAAAAAAACACAAAGACCACCAAGGATAAAACATGAGTTTTAGTTGCTCAAATTACAAATATCATCTTGGGTTTTATGGCCTTCTAGTGCTCATCTTCTCTTTTCCTCCTCTCTTCTTCTTCTTCTTCTTCTTCTTCTTCTTTCTGAATCTTCTTATTCTCCAAAGAGATCAAATGAGTGTCTGCAAAAACAAATATTGCTCTCATATCTCTCATTTTGCCTAGGAGTCTTTTCAGGTTTTCATCCTAGCATCTCTTTTCATTTTCCATTCTCCCCACTCACTCATTTTTTTTATAAGTCCTTTTTGCTTAGATTGCCCATTTTGTTGGGTTTTCAACCTAACTAGCATTTCTATTCTTTTATTTAGTCTTCCTTTTTTTTTGTTTACAAAGAGTAAAAGAAATTCATGCATAGTAAAGGGTGAAAATAAAGTGACATACCCATGATGAGTCTCCTCCCCCACACTTATGTGAAGCACTGTCCCTAGTGCTCACCTTCTCCGCCATAGAAGTCGCCTCCAAATCCTCTGCCAAAGCTGCCGTCACCAAAGTGTGGATCTCCTCCATCCCCGCCATCATATCCCCCACCCCCGGAGCTATATCCTCCAAAGTTACCCCATTGAGTGGGGTCATACCAAGAGGGGGTGGAGGTGGGTGAGCCATGATATGGAATGTGGCTTGATGGGCCATGTATGAGTACATGGGCCCATAGAACCTTCGTTGGTCTTCTTCGTATCTCGGTTGTCTTCGGCCCGTTGCTCTTCAAGTCTTTGAAATCCCGCCTTTTGTTCCTCCCGATACTTCCCAACTTTGTCGGTAACTTTGTTAAATCCTTCAAGTAGTTGTTGAAAGTAATCGGGTGGTGGAGGGACTTGGTTTTGCTCGGGGATGTCCGCGTCCATGTCTTCATGATCATGGGGTCCGGCATAAGGCTCGCCCTCGGGTTGGTCTTGTTGAGGTTCTTGGAGATTTGGTGGAAGGGCGTGTGGGAAGAGGTAGTGGGGCACCTCTACCTCCGGTTTGTAGAGTATTTTGGGGAGGTCTGGACTAGGCATTAGGAAGTGTTTGATGGGTTGGAGGTGTACGATCCAGTTGTACATGTGTTTCGGTTGTTCCCCATCATAAACCGTGTGGGAAAAAGCTGTGCATCCCGAACGGCCTAACCAAGCCATATCCATCAAACAATAGTCGGGTATAGGAGAGTTATCTGTATACCCGAACTTACTCACCAAGTGTATAATCACCCCTCCCACAACAATTGCCCCTCTCGCTGTGCTTTCCTTTTTCAAATGTGCCCACATAAGATTGCACAGATTAAAGTCCACATGACGACGGAATAAGGCCACAGACATCAAACATACATCCCCAATCCTAGTGTGGTGGTTGTTAAGGCGCCCAAGCAAGCAATTTGCTAGAAATTTCAAGAACAATCAGAGTACAATGTGTTGGACATGACTAATATACAGTTGGGAGGAGCTAAAGTTCACTTCCCCGGTCATCTTTGTCCACAGGGAATGCCCGAAAATAGTGTTATCGGAGATGGCTCTTTCGTAGGGAACGGGGATGCCAAAATGTTCGGCAAACTCAAGTTTCGTTATTGAATAGTTTTGGTTAAACAGACGAAACTTGAGTCTATCATCCCTAAAGTCAGCCTTACGCTTTCAAACTTCACCGAACTCATGAATTCATAGATAATTCTTTCATTAGAGTTGTATTTCATTTTGAAAATACGGTCCATGTCCAACTCATGAAAGAATTTTTTCATACTCTTATACACCCCTAATTCACGGAGAGCATCATGGCATAGAAAACGAGAAGGTTTTACTTGCCTTGTTATGGTGGTGAGGAATCGAGCTCGGTGTTCGTTGTCGGCGGGTATGAGGTCCTCGAAGCCCGGAATAGGTGCCATAGCATTGGAGCTCTGCCCTTTGTTCTTTCTTGGAGCCATTTTTTATGCTTTTGAGCTTTAAAAATCAAAAATTCGAATGAGGGGTAGGGTTTTTGGATTTGTTGGAGATTTGGGGAAAAATGGATTTGTGGGTATAGATATGGAGAGGAGAGTGAGGGGAAGAGACTAAAACCCTTCTTTGAGGGTTTTCAACCCAAGAACGTGGAGATCATAGACAATTCTGAACCGGTCTATGAATAAAGGAGCAACGAAGATATCCTCGAGCCACGACGTTAAACAAAGCGCTTCTTGGGAGGCAACCCAAGCAAGGTATGTTTTCTGTATCATTTTATCAAGTAGTGTGTGTGAGTAAAAAAAAGGGTGGAGCAATACTCGATCGAGTATATTCAAATACCCGGTCGCGTATTGGTCAACAAGATGAACCGAAGCAATACTCGATCAGAGCAGCAAAAGTTTTTACAACAACCAGGCATACCCGATCGGGTATAAATCCGTACTCGATCGAATATTTTCAGAAAATTAAAAGATAAAACAGCCTGCCTCCAAGACTCGATCGAGTACCGGGCTCAAAAATTGCAAATGGAAGAATACCCGATCGGGTATAAACCCTTACTCGGTCGGGTATAGCTGAAAAAATGATCATAAACTGACCCTGCCTCGGATACCCGATCGAGTACCCACCATTACTCGGTCGGGTATTGCTGGAAAACAAACTTATTCGACCCCTTGTCTCCAGTACCCGATCGAGTATAGGGGATACTCGATCGGGTATACCTGCGATTTAACCCCCAAATCAACCCAAAACACTTCATCTTCTCCAAAAACTCATCCCAACTTCGAACCTCTCTTCCCCAAACTCCATTTTTGGACCTTCTCTCTACCATATCTCCATCATTCCTCCACCAAATCATCCCATTCCACCACCAAAATACTCCCCTCACTCTCCTCTCCATATCTATACCCACAAATCCCCTTTTCCCCAAATCTCCAACAAATCCAAAAACCCTACCCCCCATTCGAATTTTTGATTTTTAAAGCTCAAAAGCATAAAAAATGGCTCCAAGAAACAACAAAGGGCAGAGCTCCAATGCTATGGCACCTATTCCGGGCTTCAAGGACCTCATACCCGCCGACAACGAACACCGAGCTCGATTCCTCACCACCATGACAAGGCAAGTAAAACCTTCTCGTTTTCTATGCCATGATGCTCTCTGTGAATTAGGGGTGTATAAGAGTATGAAAAAATTCTTTCATGAGTTGGACATGGACCGTATTTTCAAAATGAAATACAACTCTAATGAACGAATTATCTATGAATTCATGAGTTCGGTGAAGTTTGAAAGCGATGAGGCTGACTTTAGGGATGATAGACTCAAGTTTCGTCTGTTTAACCAAAACTATTCAATAACGAAACTTGAGTTTGCCGAACATTTTGGCATCTCCGTTCCCTACGAAAGAGCCATCTCTGATAACACTATTTTCGGGCATTCCCTGTGGACAAAGATGACCGGGGAAGTGAACTTTAGCTCCTCCCAACTGTATATTAGTCATGTCCAACACCCCGTCCTCCGATTGTTCTTGAAATTTCTAGCAAATTGCTTGCTTGGGCGCCCTAACAACCACCACACTAGGATTGGGGATGTATGTTTGATGTCTGTGGCCTTATTCCGTCGTCATGTGGACTTTAATCTGTGCAATCTTATGTGGGCACATTTGAAAAAGGAAAGCACAGCGAGAGGGGCAATTGTTGTGGGATGAATTTTTGGAGAAGATGAAGTGTTTTGGGTTGACGTGCACTTTGTCGTGTGTGCACTCAAAATAATTCGATACTAACAACTATACGTAGTATAGCGTAGTAGAGTTCGTATTCACAGGGAAAGGAATAACTCTCTTTTTATGTAACTAGTAATTAAAAAGGGGGGGTTTTGATTGATTTAGTTTAATAAATAAACACATGAAGATGAACGACTTATGTGGTTAAATTCAAGAATAAAAGGAACTTGGTCTTGTTACTTTCCACTTGTTGATATATTTTAGTCGATCATTGTTATATCTATAACTTATCCCCTCCCGAATACTCAATCCCGAATACTCAATCGCGGAGTATCTCCAATTCATCGAGGGTAGTTATTAACAACGACCGTTCATTAATAACCCTTACTATTAATCAAATATAGAACAACGCCGTATACCGATATAATAGTAGCATTTAACCTCTTTAACTCCTTGATGAAATCAATTGAGATTGATAACCTCAACACAACGGTTTCGGTTTAACCAACAAAATTAATCCCTCTTAAGTTTATTAACCACGACCGTGCATTAATAAACCGAAGTTACTTACTTGTGAAACCATCAACGATTAACCATCAGTTCGTTGATTGTTTCTAGTAATAATTAATGTCGGAACGTTAACTAATTGTCACTTAGTAACCCTCCAACATTAATATAGAATGAGATTAAGGGAAGAATTAATAATCAAGAGGAGAAAGTAAGAAAATAACTCACAACTTTAATAATCAACAAGCTTCAAGAGCAAAACCAAGAAATGGAAGTTTAGTTCCTCATTTGGAGACTAAACATGCTAAAAGAAATATAAAGAAATGCTATTCTAAACTGACCTTAAAAGTATAAAGGAATTGGTATATAATTGTGAAGGGAAGGGGGTGTATTTATAGGCTTTTTGGGAGTGCAGTTCGGGTACCCGATCGAGTATATATAGATACCCGATCGGGTATGTGTAAAAAGTGTAGTTTTGAGGCTTACTCGATCGAATTCGGGGTGAAAATAAAAGGCATACCCGATCAGGTATATAGGTGTACCCGATCGGGTATTACAATTGATCGTGGCCAAAGCTTTCCCTGCACACCCTTTTGTCTCCTGATTGAAAGTACAGTTGATACCCGATCGAGTATATGGTATACTCGACCGGGTACAGGTCAAAAATTCGGATTGTGCCTCCTTTTTGTCTTGAACTCTTTCACCTTCCTTCACCAATGATCATTTTACTAATCTTGGACCTGTTTAAGCTCAGAATGATCCTAATCTAAATGAATTACAACTAAATTACAAACATAACTATTACACCAAAAGTGTGTAATTTCCGAAATATTAAACAACCAAAACTAACTAAAAACGTAAACATACACACGGAAATTACATGCGTATCAACTCCCCCACACATAGTTCTTTACTCGGCCTCGAGTAAAGTAAAATGTTTCAAAACAGTTTAAGATCTTCCCATGAGTTCAAGAAAGAAAGAAACTAAGATCACCAAAAAATGAGTTTACAAACAAAATTCTTTCTTGGGTTTTATGATCTTCTATGCTCCATCTTCTTGCCTCTTTTTCTTCTTCTCTTCTTCCTCTTCTTTCTTTTCTTCTCCTCTTTCTTCCAAGAGATCAAATGAGTTCCCGCACACAACAAATATTTCTCTCTTATCTCTCATTTTGCCTAGCAGCCTTTTCAGGTTTTCATCCTAGCATCTCTTTTTGTTTTTCCATCCTCCCTAACTCACTCATCTTTTTTATAAGCCGTTTTTGCTTAGATTGCCCATTTTTGGGTTTTCAACCTAACTAGCATTTCCTTTTTCTCTTTTTTTTTTTGAAATAAAGAGTAAAAGAAAGTTCATGCATAGTAAAGGGCAAGGTAGTCAAACTCGAGATCCTACGCAGGATCGGAATTTGGAATAAGGATCGTAAATCGTAGGATCGTGACTCGGATCATAAGATCCTACAAATTATATACTTACATATACATACACATATATATGTGTGTATATATATGTACATATGTATGCATATAGTTAGAAAATAAATATAATTGATAAATAATGATCAAAGTAGATGTTTATAACAATATAACATAATATCAAATATTTTGGGTACTTAAAGACTTGAAACAAAAAGAGTTATTACTCCTAATTATATAATTAAACATCTAAGACATAGTCATTTAAGTTAAAATCATAATCTTCCAAAGGATCTTCATCCCCTCCTCCTCCATCATCCAAATCACCCACATCCAAATCAACATGAGTCATCTGTTGATCCTCTGAGGGTGAACCATCTTCATTGACAATTGGGGTGTCCATAACTAAGTTGTCAGCATCTACACCTACTTCATCCTCTCCAATAGCATCTTCCATAATCCACTCATCGTCAGTTGAAAGATCATCGAGTATGAGTTGCGATGATTTCCTTGCCTTCTTCCGTTTTGCCAACTTTGAATTAGTCATAATGAATACAAGATCGTTCATTGTTTTCTGCTTTAAACGATTTCTTCTCTTTGTGTGGACCTAATTAAATAGATATTATGGAAAACAAATTAAAAATTTATTCTAAAAATAATTATTAGAAAAAAAATATTATAATACATACCATCTCGAACGCACTCCAATTACGTTCACAACCAGATGAAGAACATGTCAAGCTTAGTACTTGAATGGCAAACTTTTGAAGCTCAGGATACTCGTCTCCGTACGACTCCCACCAGTCTGATGGACTCTTTTTATCTAGTGTCTTTCTCGCTAAAGGAGTGCCAAACAGATTTGCACGTTTCTTAAAATCATCGAGCTGGATATCTATCTTTGCTTGTACTTCAACATCAGCTACCATGCGAGTGATGCAGTCGTACAAACCTTTTTTAACTTCAAAGTCAGCTTTAAAATTGGGACTATACTGCATCTGGGGGTTTAGATAATAGCCAGCAGCATGTAAAGGTCTATGCAACTGTTTGTCCCATCTTTCATCCACAACGTTCCACAAAGGCAAGTAACTAAGGAATAATAATAAATTAATAGTTAGTTTACACAAAATTAGGTAAAAAAAAAATTAGGTAAATATAATATTTTAAGCACCTTTTTCTGACATTGTTGAAAGCACTTTGTATTTTTTCTTTAGCTCGATCCATTGCCTCATATATGAATCCCATCGCTGGTTTTTCGTCTGAGTCAACCAAACGAAGCACTTCAATAAGAGGAAGTGCAGCCTTCAAACACGTCACGATATTCTTCCAAAATTCTTTGTCCAAAATAATATCTTCAACAAACTTTCCATCGCTGGTCTTGGCATATCTTGTTGACTTCCACGCTCGGGATGTGAACATTCTAATCAGTGCACCTTTTTTCTCATGAAGGCATCCCAAAGTTAAATATGACGTGGCAAAACGAGTCATGCCCGGTCTCACTAAATCTCTATTGTTTGTGTAATGGTGTAACAAAGAAATGAGTGGGGTCCTAGAATAAATAAAGGTAGTAATTCTTCTACCTTTTGGGATCGTCTCGCCATGAACGGGAATCTTTTTCTCATAATCTTCCAGCATGAGGTCTATGCAATGTGCTGCACAAGGTGTCCAGTACAACCTTTTCCTCTTTTGCATCAACAGCTCTCCAGCAGCTTTATAGTTTGTTGCATTGTCGGTCACAATTTGAATGACATTCTCCTCACCAACATCCTCGACAACGTCATCCAACATCTTAAAAATTTTGTCCGAAGACTTAACTATATCAGACGCATCAATAGATTTCAAAAAAACTGTTCCCTTTGGGCTGTTCACTAAGAAATTAATCAAAGTTCTTTTTTTGGTATCACTCCATCCATCACTCATTATAGTGCAACCTGTTTTCTTCCACTCTTCTCTGTGCTCTTTCACAACAGCTTCTGTCAGGTCCACTTCTTGCTTTAGGTACTTCACTCTTATTTCATGATAGGATGGCGGTTTGAAACCAGGACCATGCTTTGCGATCAACTCACACATATTAAAAAACTCTTCACTTCTCGCGGCATTGAATGCTATAGCATTGTTATAGAAAAATCTACAGATCGCTTGGCAAGCATCCTCTCTAAGGTTTTTTTTGTACATGGTATTAATGGTTGCTTGAGTAGTAACTCCTTTCTTTTTGAAGGAATTGAAGCAAGCATTAGATGATTGGCCTTCCACTTGATTCAGTTTTCTTTTTTCACCTGTGTGTGCATCCTCGTCATCATCATCGCGCTCGCTATGCTTCTTCACCTTGTCGGTGACAACGAGATCCCACATAAGTTGCTTCACTTCATCACTAACTGCATTACAAGCAGCAACATCTTTCTGGGTTCCCGCCAAGTGATGCTTCATCCGAAAAGGACCGCCAGAAAAGACTTTGCTACAATAGTTACATTGCAACTTTCGATTGCTCCCATCAACGGAATGACTATGCTTCCAAGCGATGTCACTCTTTTGGCCGGGGGCATTTTTTGCCACAACTTTGGAACTCATAGCGGCTGCCGAAGTAGGTATGGATGACATAATGCACTACAACACATATAAGGATGAATGAAGAAATATTATTATAAATATAATAGAAATATAATACAAATAGTAGAAAATAAATGAGTAAACTGTTATCTTAAATTAACCTATTATAAGAGTAGAAAATGATTCAGAATATGTAATGAAGTCTTTATATATTAAATGTAAAATGTAATAAAATTTTATATTTATAATAAACAAACAAAAAACAATCTACCTTTTAATAAAATAATAATAAAATAATAACAGTAAGTTGTATTATACCTTATAAGTTTATAAAACCTAAATGACCTAACAGATACAAAAATAATAATTTAAATTAATCTGTTCCTAAATCCTAGTAAAATAATCTAACTGTATTTTTTTACTTAATAATAACAGAAACTACTAAGTTTATATGTTCTTAAATAAATTATACTCCGTAACACCTAACTACCTAGCAGATAACAATTTAAAGTAATATGTTCTTAAATAAATTATAATAATGTGTATTATATAGTACTTTAAGAAAGAAAAAAATACTAGTACATAAATTAAAGTATTGAATATATATAATTAATTTATATGATTATATACTAACTCACCTGCGCTTGAGAGTTGAGAAACGAAATAAGACAATTCGAGTCTTCTTCTTCAGCAGAGTGAAGACTCGCACTTATCGTTGACAACGCAGAACTGGGAGATGGATGGCTGCCGCCTGCCTTCGAGTCTTCCACAAAGAGCTAGAGCCGTGGAGGTCGCCGAGTGACCCAGTCGGACCTGAGAGTGGAGTTCGCCGGGAAGAGTTTGGTTGCAGAGAAGTACAGAGCAAGGGATTGGAAGAAGCCGATGCTTGAATGATTGAACCATTGCTGAACACTTAATTTATAGATGCTTTTGCACGCAATTTGAAGCGACAAAGATCTCTTTTAAAATTTTCGAACGTTTTCCATCGATTCCAGATGGTTCGCACCCTCTCTGTTGACGTTTCGGGTGGCCTGAATTTTTTTTTCGTTTTTCTTCAAAGGCTGCAAACGGATCGCCGATCCTATGCGAGTCTATGAGTTTACGATCTGACTCGGCGATTCATCCGTTCCCACATTTTTTCCGATTTTCTCTAGGAACGGGATCGCTGATTGAGTATTGACGCGTAAACTCGTACGATCCTACGAGTAGAATCGCGATTTTGACTACCTTGGTAAAGGGTAGAAAATAAAATTACATACCACGAGGAGTCTCCCCCCTTCTTAGTCCAAGCACTGTCCCTAGTGCCCACCTTCGCCGCCATAGTAGCCTCCTCCAAAGCCGCCTCCAAAACTCCCGTCGCTCATGTGAGCATCTCCGCCGTCCCCGCCATCATAACCTCCACCCCCGGAGCTAGATTCTCCAAAGTTACCCCATTGAGTGGGGTCATACCAAGAGGGGAGTGGGGGTGGTTGGGCCATAGTGTGGAAGGAGCCTTGATGAGCCATGTAAGAGTACATAGGTCCATAAAACTTACGTTGATCTTCTTCGTATCTTCGGTTGTCTTCGGCCCGTTGCTCCTCAAGTCTTTGAAATCCCGCCCTTTGTTCCTTCCGATATTTTCCAACTTCATCGGTAACTTTGTTGAACCCATCAAGTAGTTGTTGGAAGTAATCGGGTGGTGGGGGGCTTGGTTCTGTTCGGGAATGTGGTGAAGTACAACCTCGGGTTCATGTTGCTCGGCTTGAGGTTCTTGGTCGAGTTGGTTTTCGGGGGGGTTTGGGCTTGAAGTTCTTGTAGGTGTGGTGGGAGGAGGTGTGGGAACAAGTAATGGGGCACATCTCTATTGTAATGGAGTTTGGGGAGGTCCGGGTTAGGCAAAGGGTAATGTCTCACCGATTTGGGGTGTATGAGCCAATTGTATACATGTCGGGGTTGATCTTCACCATATACCGTGTGAGAAAAAGTAGCACACCCCGAGTTGCCCAACCAAGTAATGTTCATCAAACAATAGTCGGGTATAGGAGAATTGTCCGTATACCCAAACTTTGTTGCCAAGTGCATAATCACCCCACCCAACACAATTGGACCTTTAACAAAGGTTTCTTTCTTGAGGTGTGCCCACATTAAATTACAAAGATTAAAATCCACAGCACGACAGAATCAGACCGTGGTCATCAAACACACATCCCCCATTCTAGTGTGATGGTTGTTGGGGTGCCCAAGAATACAATTAGCCAAAAACTTTAAAAATATCCTTAGAATGGGATGATGAACATGGCTTATGTATTGTTGGGAGGAGCTAAAGTTCACCTCTCCGGTCATCTTGGTCCAAAGTGCATGACCCATTACGGTGTTGTCCGAAATCTCTCTCTCGTAGGGGACGGGAATGCCAAAATGTTCGGAAAACTCAAGTTTCGTTATTGAATATTCTTGGTTAAGCAAACGAAACGAGAGTGTATCATCCTTAAGATCATCCTCGTTGCTCTCAAAACTAGTCGAACTTATGAACTCATAGATAATTCTTTCATTTGAGTTGTATTTCATATTGAAAATAAGGTCCATATTCAACTCATGAAAGAATTTTCTAGTGCTCTTAAGGATGCCTAAATCACGAAGAGCTTTATGGCAAAGAAAACGAGATGGTTTGACTTGCCTTGAAATTGTAGCGAGGATTCGGGCCCGTTGTTCGGTATCGGTGAAGTGAAAGTCCTCGTAGCCCGGGATGGGTGCCATGACGTTTGAGCTCTCTCCCCTATTCTTTCTTGGAGCCATTTTTGGTGTTTTTGAGCTTTGAAAACCCAAAATTCGAATGGGGATAGGGTTTTTTGGATTTTTTGGAGATTTGGGGAAAAAAGGGATTTGTGGGTATAGATATGTAGAGGAGAGTGAGGGGAGTATTTTGGTGGTGGAATGGGATGATTTTGTGGAGGAATGATGGAGATATGGTAGAGAGAAGGTCTAAAAATGGAGTTTGGGGAAGAAAGGTTCGAAGTTGGGATGAGTTTTTGGAGAAGATGAAGTGTTTTGGGTTGATTTGGGGGTTAAATCGCAGGTATACCCGATCGAGTACCCTGCTATACCCGACCCTTACTCACCATACTCGATCGAATTCAGAGTATTATTTATATATATACCCGATCGAGTATGTTGGTGTACCCGATCGGGTATAGACACTCGATCGTGGTCAAAATCTTCCCTTCATGTTCCTTTGTTTTCGGATCCGATCCGATTTGAAATTTCAACAAGATACCCGATCGAGTATAGATGATATTCGACCGGGTATAGACCAAAAAATCAGGATCTTCGCTTTGCCTTGTGATTTTGCACCTTCCTTCCACTTTTGGGGTTCACCAACTGTCCTTTGAGTGATAGTAGACCTGTTTGAGCTCAGAATAAACCTAATCTAAACAATTTAAAAGAATTTAACAAACTAAACTATTACACCAAAAGTGTGTAATTTCCAAAGTGAAAATCAATCAAAACTACTTAAAATCACAAACATAAACATGAAAATTACATGATTATCAATCATTACCCTAGTACCGCAAAGACTTTCACCTACGGTGGGAAGGGGGGGTCGGATGTATGCAGTCTTACCCCTGCACCAAAGCACAAAGAGATTGTTTCGTATGGCCCATAGTGAAAATCGCGTTGAAATATGCATGGACTTGGCGCTTCTTCATAACAAAGAAGCGCGAACAGTTTAGTGAACCATTTTGCTTTATTTCATCATATTCTCAGGTCAAAAATGGTGAGTCTTTGGGTCCATTGCAAATGATGGAAATTCTATCCATTTTTCACATCAATTAGCAAAATTAGTTTTTAGTTTTCATTTAGGAAACACTTTTTATTTTCAACCAAAATAATTTCCTTTTCATACATATAAAGCACTGCAAAGAAATTCAAAAGAATTACTTCCACATAAAGCATTGTTATTTTCTGATCCTAAAGACCTTGTTTGGTTCAAAGGAGGGGAGGGAAGGGGAGAGTCAAGGAAGGAAGGAAAGGGGAAGAAAGGATTTTGATAAAAAAAAATTGTGTTTGGTTGGAGGAAATAGGAGGAAAGGTTTAATGAAAATATTTTTTCAATTTACCTTTATTTGATAGCTTACTTAAAAAATAGATATATCTCTAACTATTGTGAATATTACTCCTATGGTCATGAGTCATACTAAATTTTTTTGATTTTTTTTAATTTATAATTTTAATTTTTTTATTTTTATAATTTTTATAATTTTAATTTATTTTTATTTTTTAATTTTTTATTTTTTGATTTTTTTATTTTTAAATTTTTGATTTTTTTATTTTTTGATTTTTTGATTTTTAGTTTTTTAATTTTTTTATTTTTAAGTTTTTTGAATTTTTTTGTTTTTTACCTTTTTCTTATTATAATGTTTTGTCTATTCACGTAGGAGATGGATAGTTTGTGGTTCAGTGGTTATCAACACGTTTCCTCCGAAAATACCCCAATTTAGGGGTTTATAATGGGTGGAAGTGGAGGATTTTGGAAGCCTTCCACTCTCTTCCCCTTCCCCCCTATTTCCTTCAACCAACCAAACAAAAATCCCTCACTTCCCTCCCCTCCTCTCCGAAACCCTCCAACCAAACAGGGCCTTAAAGAATGACAATTAAATTTTACGCAACGCACCATTACTATTTAGATCGCTAAGCGCCATTTCACTTATTCGTGCTTCACAACAAACACTTTTTTTGTAAGGGAAAACTATCAAATAGATCCTCATACTATGTTCAAATAGTCAATTAGGTCCTCCTACTTAAAAACCAATCAATTGAATCCTCCAACTTTGAAAATACCCTCAATTTCACCATTTAGGCAGTAATCAATAAGTTTCTCCAGTCACATGGTTATGTGGCTATCCTACATGTCAATTTTTTCCAAAAGCTAGGTCCCAGCTGCCAGGTATGCCACCGCCCATTGCTATCTCCCCTAATAGGGTAGCAGCCGTATAGTATCTCCCTCCACCTTTTCTGATTAGAGCAGCGGCCATCTCCTTCAATTAAAGGACTGACACTGGTTATGCCATTGTCGTCTTCCTCAATCAGAGCACTCGGCATCTACCTCAATTCGAGCAGCCGTCGTTTCTTTGGGACCGGTCACGCCATCTCCATCTCGGCCAGATCTAAGTGGAAGAGAGTTAGAGAACATCTTCGATTTCACAGAGAAATTCAATGAACAAGAAGGCAAACTGATTTGTTAATTGAAATGATATTTTATACATATATTATGTGGGATTTGGGAAACAAACGTATCTTAAAACATATAAAATCTAATAAAATATTGTGATTTTAATTGATTGCTAGGGCAAGAGAAAAGAGGAAAATTAAAATAAGGCAAAGTAATCTTCTTTTCAAGATCTGTGGAGCTGAAAATCCATGAAATTCATCTCTGTGCAACTAATATTGGGATGTTGGCATAGCTCCGTATCATCTTGGCTGGACTTGGAGGAAGAATTGGAAGAAGAGGAGAGCAGTTTCACGAGAACAGAGCACACCGTTCGTGAGGAAGATGATGTAAGCTGAGGTGTAAAAAAAATAGAAATAGAAAACACCACGTAGACAGCCAAATATGCAATTAACCGGAAGACCGGTTGTGTACCGGTTAAGATGCTCAATTGGTTGTTTTTTCAAAGTTTGAGGATTCAATTGATTGATTTTAAAGTAGGAGGATCTAATTGACTTTTTGAACATAGTACGGGGACTTATTTGACAGTTTTCCCTTTTTGTAATTTTGCATTTTACTTGACCTTGATTCTTGTGTCATGTGTGCTTACCAATTCACTTTTTGTGGCATGATAATGAGCTTACTAGTTAAGTAGTATACTTATGTCCTGTCTGTCTAAATTGGTTGCAGCAGTTGCAATTTGTTTCAATGAAATGGTTTGTATGGCATATGGATCAACTTGGAACTTCATTTGTTATGCAATATGTAACAATCAGTATTGTTGACTTTTGACGATGTTTTCTGCATAGGATATATACTCCGTAGTAATAATGACCTTATTTGCAGAGTATTCAAAAGTCTGAATGTCCCAAGGAACTGGAACCTGCTGATAAGAGGGCCGTTGTCCATCTCAATCTCATCAAGAGGGAGAATAATTGTCCTGTAAGTAACTCAGTGAGTACCAGTAGTACCACCATTTCTACCTTTTAGATTTCTACAAACCTTTTTTCTTTTCTGAAATTAGGAAAAACTACCGAGGTTCATCATTCATTCGGTTAACAAATTCATGACAACTTAGGTCCTAGATCGATAATTTTCAATCATTCGGGTCCTAAATTGACAGTTTTTCATCAATCGAGTTCTACATCGATACATTTCATTTGCAGGTCCCAATTACTTACTGTATCATCTAAAAAAGATTATCCAGAATATATCTTCTTCCTTTTGACTTTGCTTGCGAAATCATTAGAGCATCATAGTTGTATCTCTAATTAACCTGATTGCTGCAGGAACCCGAGACACACGACAATGTTCCATTTCAGGGCATAGGAAGAACTCTGGGTGGCAGCTCAAGCCAGGCAACTAGTGAGCCTACTGCCCTTGACACTGCTCCATCACCTTCAACGGGCTCAGTAATTGACGAATCATTGCCTTCAACATCAGTTCAGCTTAGATTGGCCAATGGGACCCGCATGGTGGCTCGCTTCAACAACCATCACACCGTGGGTGACATACGTGCCTTCATAGATGCATCCAGGCCAGGTGTTAGCCAGTCATATCAGCTGTACACTGGTTTCCCTCCCAAAATCTTGAGTGACACCACCCAGACCATAGAAGAAGCTGGACTGCTAAATTCTGTGATCATACAGACGTAATTATCATCAGTGGTGGAAATCGGAGGCTCGTGTTTTTTATTGCATCCAACTTTATATGTATATGCCTATATTTACATGTACAAACAAGCAAGGGTATAAATTACTCTGATTACTGGGGAAGATCAGCTTGTTGATTTGTTATGCATGTGATATTCCTGTAAACGGGAGAACCCTTCATTTTGGGTATCCAATGCACCATTAATCCTTCAAAAAGTTTATCCAGCCATGCTTATCAGTGGGCTCTCAGGCCCAAAAGTAGATAGAATTAGTAAATATCTCGTAGTCCAGAGTCCAAACAAACGAACCTACAGTCCATTGTTTTTTGTATGATTTTGAAAAAAGGTTAGGACTTTGGACCCATCTTGATTACACCAAATTTCTATCACATATTACGCAGGCTCATTTTAACATGTTTGATCCCTTCCAGAAATCAAACTAGGATTCAGGTGCTGTTCTGTTCGTCTTAATCTTATTATTACTTATTGCTTATTCTTATTTTATTCAGATCAGATCAGAAAGATTCAGATCAAACCAGAATCATTCAGATCAGATCAGAAAGATTCAATCAGATCAGAAACATTCAGATCAGATCAGAAAAGTTCAGACATGATTTATACTTTTTATTATAATAATAATAATTATAATAATATTTATAATAATTATAATAATAATAATAATAATTATTATTATTCTTGTTGTTGTTATTGTAATTAGTATTATTATTATTATTATTGCTATTATTATTATTAGTATTATTATTATTATTGTTGTTGTTGTTATCATCATCATCATCATCATCATCATCATCATCATCATTATTATAATTATTACTATTATTATTATTATTATTACTATGATTACTATGATTATTATTATTATTCTTACTACTAATATGGTTGTTGTTGTTGTTACTGTTATTAGTTTTGTTTTCATTATTATCATATTATACGGAGTAATTACGATTAAAATTATAGAAATAAATATTATAATTATAATTAAAATTATAATTATAGAAATAAATATAACTATAAATATAATTACAATTATAATTATAGCTATATTTATAACTACTGTAATACGTATAATAATAATTATACCTATTATAATTATGTTTGTAATTATAATTATAATTTTTATAATTATGATTATAATTATAATTATATTTAAATTAGATGTGTGTAATTACATTTATAATTATAGTAATTATAATTGTAATTATAATTTTAGAAATATTTAAATCAGATCAGAAAAATTCAGATCAGATCAGAAGGATTCAGATCAGATCAGAAACATTCAGATCAGATCAGGAACATTCATATCAGATCAGGAACATTCAGATCAGATCAGACACATTCAGATCAGATCAGAAAGATTCAGATCAGATCAGATCAGATCAGATCAGAAAAAATCAGATCAGATCAGAACTTAAAAAATTCAGATCAGAAACATTCAGATCAGGTGAAGAGAACAGCTTCTCAGTTCTAGGTAGGCTCGGACCTGCTCTGGTCTGGGTAAGGGGGATCAGAATTTTATCAGATTTTATCAGTTTTGGCTTAGGGTGTTTAGTCTTTAGTTTGTAAATCAAAGAAACCAGAACTGATATATTCTGGTTCTATTCTAGAAGAATTGGAATTGATTTTCACTGGTTTCTGGTGTGGCTTTTGGTCCAAAATTGTAGAATGAGTGATGCTTCAATTTCTTTAAGTGCATACTTTAGGAATTAGGACTACGCCAACAATAATTCTCATTACGAATTTTTTATGTAATCCATGTTATTGTAGAGCCACCGCTACACACATCTATTGCAAGGATGTTTATTTGGATACCTAACAGTTTGAGAAAATAGAAACTACACAGGCCTATGCTATCTATTTCAAGGCATAAGGGCGATAGCTTACAGTGGGCTTCTTTTATTAAAAAAAAATTATATCAATCATTTCTATTTGAACAAAGATGCATAATAAAAATCATTTATTTTTCTATTTTTTACATATTCAAATGAAATAATTACATAAACATAACCAAAATAAAGATGATTTATAAAAATACGCTTACTTACTAGAGTAGTAATGAAATCATAGTAATTCATGTTCAAGTTTTGAATTTAAGTTACCATAACACTAGGTTGTAGTAATGAATAGTCATATTTATGTAAATAAGTTTTATTTTAGTAATATTCTTGTAAAAAAAACTAAATGCAACCATTTAAATATAAACCTTGAAATGAATTAAATCTGCGAATTTAATAAAAAATTGAATTTTAACGAAACGGAAAATAACAAGTTTGGATAATACTAATTTCAGCAAAACCCAACAATTCAAAAACAATGGGACATAACAAGTTAGTGAAGTTACAAAAAACATATTCACAATTTCAAACAATAATTTTTAAATAAAAAAGTTAGAGCACGTAACTAAATAAGGAAAAACACATTTAAAATTCACACATCAATTCAACAAAATTATAAATATTAAAAGGTACAATAGGTATTCAAAAGAGAGGGCCAAAAAGTGCAGCTTAGTCAGAAGCATACAGTTCTGCACGCTTTTAAGTACGGAGTAATTTATTCTAAATCGGCGTTGTAACCGGTGAACGTAGCTCAATTGATAGCGAGGGAGTGCCACAAGGGTTAAGTCTCGAGTTCGAATCCCAGCAACTGCGATAAGGGGTTACTATAATGAAAAATGCATAGGGCCTCTGCAAATACCGGGGACGGAGCCCCACTCTCTATCTGTCAGGTTGTGATTATAGTCCGACTTACATCCTCTCATCGTGCTGTTCGGTCGGTGTTGGGGGGTCCTCAGGGATGGAGTGTCATCTTTTTTTTTTTTTAAAACGGCTTTGTACTTACAAAATCGGAAGATTAAATGTAAGGTCTTAGAAAATCAATAAAGCCCTAATCAGTAAGGCTCAACTTTTGACTTTTGAATAAGTTGAAATTTAGTTCTAAGAAGCTGTTCTCTTCACCTGATCTGAATGCTTCTGATCTGAATTTTTTAAGTTCTGATCTAATCTGAATGTTTCTGATCTGATCTGATCTGAATCTTTCTGATCTGGTCTGATCTGATCTGAATGTCCCTTATCTGATCTGAATGTCCCTTATCTGATCTGAATGTTCCTGATCTGATCTGAATGTTCCTGATGTGATCTGAATCCTTCTGATCGGGTCTGATTTAAATACTTCTAAAATTATAATTATAATTTAAATTTTTAGAAATGTAATTACACACATATAATTTAAATATAATTATAATTATAAAAAAATTATAATTATAATTATAATAGTTATAATAGGTATAATTATTATTATACATATTACACTAGTTATAAATATAGCTATAATTAGAGGAAGCGGTCCAGCTCAGTTGGTCGCCGACTCACTCTCCCTTATGGGAGGTCTCGGGTTCGAAACTCAATGAGGTGAGTTTCAACCTAGTTTACTTCAGCCCCCCCCCCCCCCCCCCCCCCCAGACCCCTCCCCCAGACGTCTCCTAGAGTAAACAAAAAAAAAAGCTATAATAATAATTGTAATTATATTTTTAGTTATAATTATTTCTATAATTATAATTTTAATTATAATTATAATATTTATTTCTATAATTTTAATTGTAATTACTCCGTGTAATATAATAATAACAAAAAAAATACTAATAACAATAAGAATAATAGTAATAAGAATAATAATAATCATGATAATAATAAATATTAAAATAATAATAATAATCATAGTAATCATAGTAATGATGATGATGATGACGACGACGATGATGATGATGATGATGATGATGATGATGATGAGGAAGACGATGACGACGACGACGACGACGAGGATGATGATGATGATGATGATGATTATTATTATTATAATTATTATAATTATTATTATAATAAAAGGGATAAATCATGTCTGAACTTTATTAATCTGATCTGAATGTTTATGATCTGATCTGAATGTTTTTTATCTGATCTGAATGTTTCTGATTTGATTTGAATAATTCTGATCTGATCTGAATCTTTCTGATCTGATCTGATCTGATCTGAATTTTTCTGATCTGATCTTATCTGATCTGAATAAAATAAGAATAAGCAATAAGTAATAAGATTAAGACGAACAGAACAGCTTCTAAGTCTCTAACGAGTACGACTAAAGTGCTTCTTCGGATTTCCAAAACAGGTTGAACAGGAGCCGTACTGGGCCAAAAAATAAACCTATTCACTTGTACCCAAAGGAGAGAATTTTGGGCCGAAGTTTAATTTTATTTTTTGGGCCTATGGCCCTTAGTCCCAGCCGACCACCTCAAGGGCGCCCCTATTGTACATGTAACAAAAAACATTCTTTATTTTAAAATAATTTAGAGCACTAGAGTTTTAGAAAACACATACTAGTATAAGGATTGGAAAAGATTTGCTTGAAAGAGTATGTGTTGTGTAATACTATAGACGGAAAAGATTTTGTCCTGCTGGAGGGATAGGATTCTCCGTCCGGCCATCGCTGTTTAGGGAGGTTTCCGGTGGAATTTTTTAATGAAATTGTTGAGAATCTTCCTCATCAAGTCTAGTTTATCCACACAAAAAATCAGCTAAAGATTCAACCAGAAAGACAGCTAAATATTTTTTGATATGTATAATAATTTGGCGGGGTTATCTTAAAAAAATCATTTAACCGCCTTCTCGATCGAATTTTTAGCTGTTTATTATGGATAAGCTAGACTTTAAGAGGAACATGTTAAAAAAAATCATCAAAAAAATTCATCGGGAACCTCCCCAAACGGCAGCGGCTGGACGGGGTCCTTCCCTCTGGACATGACCATTGTTCTTATAAATATACTCCGTATAAGATAAGATGATTCTTGAAAAGAAATTAGAGAAACTTATGTTTAACTTTAAACAAATAAGCCATAATCCATGGGATTTGTAGGTAGTAATGTAGCTTAAGTTCATGGCAAGAAAGTGAATGGAAGTATAGATGTGATTAGTCAATCTACAATTATCTTCGATAATGAGAGGGCTACCTACTTAGTCTTTGCACTATTCTTAGAAATGACTTCTTTCTTGTTTTCCACTTGTGACTACGTACGGACTATAATATAATAATAATATTTGTGTACATTTAATAATAAAATAAGAAGCAAGAAATCGGCAAATATATCACTATCATTACCACACACCCACGCACTACCAACTTAATTGTTTGCTTCCCCAGCGAGTGGCATCAATTTCTCATAATTAAGCTTTATGGAGGGTGCTTATTTTCCTTTGGGTTGGGTTGACATTAGGAAGTCAACAAGAAGAATTGGACATATATATTCTCCATCTATCAATCATGCCTACCAATCAACCTTACCTTCTAATTTATTTGTTTGTTTATCATACTCATGTAACCAACCACAAATATTGTTTTTATGTGTGCATATGTACAT